ACGGACAAGGCCCAGATGGACTTTGAGTTCCAGGAAGAGGGTGTTATTGCCAAGATCCTCAAGGATGCTGGCGAGAAGGACGTCCCTGTTGGCACCGTGAGTTTTTTTCTTCTTCATTCCGTGTATAAATGACCCTTGCCGTTTCATTCCGATACTAACCATTTTTTTCTTTGCTCCGATATAGCCCATTGCTGTCCTGGTCGAAGAGGGAACCGACATCGCCGCTTTCGAAAAGTTCTCCATCGAGGACGCTGGCGGTGCTGCCAAGCCCGCTGAGCCCAAGAAGGACTCTGAGCCTGCCCCTCAGTCTACCCCCGCCTCTGCCCCTCAGTCTTCCTCTGCCCCTGAGCAGTACTCTTCACAGGGCAGAATCCAGAGCGCTCTCGACCGTGAGCCCAACGCTCTCCCTGCTGCTGTTCGCCTTGCCCGATCCAAGGGCATCAGCCTTGATGGCGTCAAGGGCACCGGCAAGGGTGGCAAGATCACCGAGGAGGATGTCAAGAAGCTGGTTTCCAGCCCTGCTGTCTCTGCTCCCGGCGCCACCTTTGAGGACATTCCCATCAGCGGAATGCGAAAGACCATTGCCAACAGACTGCAAGAGTCCACCCAGACCAACCCTCACTTCTACGTCACCAGCTCAGTCTCCGTGTCCAAGCTCCTGAAGCTGCGACAGGCCCTGAACAGCTCCGCTGACGGCAAGTACAAGCTGTCTGTCAACGACTTCCTCATCAAGGCCATGGCCATCGCTGCCAAGCGAGTCCCCGCTGCCAACTCCAGCTGGCGCGGTGATGTTATCCGCCAGTTCTCTACCGTCGACGTCTCCGTCGCCGTCTCCACCCCCACCGGCCTCATCACCCCTATTGTCACCGGTGTTGAGGGCCGTGGCCTCGAGTCCATCTCCAACAAGGTTAAGGAGCTGGCTAAGAAGGCTCGTGACGGCAAGCTCAAGCCCGAGGAGTACCAGGGCGGCACCATCTCCATCTCCAACATGGGCATGAACGACGCCGTCAACCACTTCACTGCCGTCATCAACCCTCCCCAGGCCGCTATCCTGGCTGTCGGCACCACCCGAAAGGTCGCTGTCCCCGCCACCAACGAGGACGGCGAGACTACCGTCGAGTGGGACGACCAGATCACCTTCACTGGCAGCTTCGACCACAAGGTCGTTGACGGTGCCGTCGGCGCCGAGTGGATGCGCGAGCTCAAGAAGGTTCTCGAGAACCCCCTGGAACTCCTTCTGTAAATTGGAAAAGAGTTTTAAAAAAACAGGAGAAATGATACACAGGGATTTCTTGGCCCTCCACAAAACTTTCTCTATGGGCAGAAGGCGGCGTCTGGGATGGGTTACAAATTAGACTGGGAGCGGAAGGAAGAGAAAAGGATCCAAAAAAATTATATACACGTAAAAGATAAAGCGGCAATGGATCTGTTTAATCTTCATGAGAGAGAGAGAGGGAAGAAGAGATTGAAGCGCCAAGTGTCTTGTTAGTGGGCAAAATATTTTTTTACTTTTGCCATTGCGAAAGACGATGACGACGACGATGGGAGGGCTTTTCGAAGCACGCCGTGTATAAAAAAATAAGAACGTCCCTTGATTAATACTGCATTTTGGGTGAGGGGAGGGAAAAGGGAAAGCAAGGGGAGGTGGATTTTGCCAGCTTTGTATAGTTTTCTCTTTTTTTCTAAAACTTCTTCTCCCCTTACCTGCAATACAGAATATATTTTTTTACCTCTTTAACTACCTTCCTAGAATCCTTTTCTCAAGATACACTTTGTAAACCAACTCTCACATAAACACTCAACCCTTGATGTTCAATATGTGAGTGATCATTTCATCTGTACAACTTGTTTTCAAGATAAACACCAAAGAGCAGATAAAAGTTAAATTGAAAAATGCCAGTTTACTTCTTTATTGCAAAAATAACCAAAGAGGTCGTTCTCTACTGAGACCCTCATACGCCCAAAGACTGCTTATTTTATGATACATACAGTTTCCATTAACATTCATCCCTTCACTCTCTGCCCCCCACCGTCCTGCCCGTCTTTGTTTTCTCACCAAATTGCCCAAAAAAAACGCCAGCCATCTGAAAAATCCCCTTCTAATATCTCCCCAGCTATTCTAGATCTAGCTCAAATCCATTGTCTCAGCCCCAGCAGCTGCTGCAGCAGGAGCAGGGGCCTGGTTTGTGCTGCCGTTCTGGACCGACAAGTCGACGCCACCATCATTGCCAATTAGTCGCTTCTCGGACTTGTTCACAAACTCAATACTCCTGGCAGGATCGTAGAAGAGCTGGAAGCATCGCTTGACGTCGTCGATGCTGACTTGCTTGGATTTTCTCTTTGCCGAAACTAGCTGGGATGTGGTAATTAGATTGCTGGCGTATCGGAGGCCAGCCTCTTGGCCGATTTTTGTGAGCAGAGCCAGGGCATCTGCAGAAATGTCGATTTCTTCCTCCTGCGCTCGAATGGACAAAATCTTCTGGATTTCTTCGGTGCTGTAGTAGTGCGTGTTGATGATGACAACACGATCCAAGAAATCGAGGGGCAGGCCGTGTGGGCTTTTATAGTCGGTACCGCGGATACGCGAGACGCCTCGGTTGCTGGCCATGATGACGACTGGTGCCAGGTCGTCTTCCAGGGCTCGGTTGATGTAAGAGAAGCACTCAATATCAAGCATATGCACCTCATCGAGGAACAGTACGCCAGGAACAATCTCGGCCTTGCCCTCCTCCTTCCACTCTCCAACCTTTGTGTTGATCTGGTCACGGATCTCGCTGCGAATCTCACCCGTGTCACCAGAGAAGAGAGCCAGAAATCCTTGTGTTCGCGAGTTGATGACATCGATTTCATGTAGCGATACGGTGTGGACTACCTCTTTGCGCTTTTGCAGCTCGCCATCGGGGCATTGCAAAAACTTGGTATCGACACCCATGGCATCGTAATCGCGAGATCGGGCGTATGATCGACCAAGTTTGGTAATCTTGCCGGAAGACTTGTCGATAGAAATAATATCGCCGGCCATGACGCGCTCCTTGGTCATGGCGTCAATCATCTTCGCGCCCATGTCGTACACGGCCTCCATATCGGTGGTTTTGATGGTCAGCTTGCCCTGTTTGGCGCTGCCAGTAACGCTTCGGTCGATCTGGATCTCCACAACTTCTCCCTCCATAATCTCACTCTCTTCCTTGATGCGGACACCGATTGACTTGCGGAAAGCTTGCGTGAGAGCCTCAGTTTTTGACATTTCGAGGGAGAAGATCTCTGAGGCCGCGAGGGTTGTAAAGGGAACGTCGGAGCCGAGGGATTGTGCCATTCCCATGGCAAGGGCAGTCTTTCCCGTGCTATTAAATCAAAAGCGTAAGCAAAAAATGGAGAGGAAAGGAGCCGAGTTGCTGCTGCATCTTCTCACTTACCTTGGCGGGCCAGCAATCAAGACGGCGCGGCCAGCAATTTTGCCCTCTTTGATCATCTGCAGAATGACGGCAGCGGCCTTGCGGGCCTTTTCCTGGCCAACAAGGCCCTGCGATGAGGCCCTAGGCTCGAGACTCGTAGCATCGACGCCAAGTCCTCGGATGTGAGAATGCGCGGCGATGAGGTTCAGACCGCGAAGGTCTTTAGTTTCGGAAACGGTTACTAAGGGCTGGCCAGAGGCAGTCAGTTTGCGAACGAGATGACACTCTGTGTGGGGATTGAAGACTCACGGCAGCCATTGTGAAATATACGTATCCCGCAGGCGCGCAGCAAGTTGGTCACGACAGGATTGGAAGCGATAGATCAAGGCTGCTGCTCTAGCTGGGTGCGCAGAGTTGACAAACAAGGCTGGGCGAATTGGAGCGGCTGCTGAAGCTCCCGTTTTCGCCAGGAAAAATTACGGCCCCGGAGAAGCGCGCGGATGGCGCTTACACGCGCGAGCCAGTGGGCACGCGGATACAGTTAAGCTGGTGGGGCGCGTAGTTCAGCACTTTGGATCTGGATGGGGCCTGTACCTGTGCCTGTCAGCCCAAGCGCCCCGGCAACTACAGCTTGTTTGGTTTTGGTTGATGCTTCATGCAGTATAACATATAACACACGCCTGGAAGCAAATCACGATGAGTCCTGGGGCACCACTGTCTGCCCAGCAATTATGTTATTCTACTTAAATCAATGTCTATCCCTTGACAGTCCGGGCATGTGCAAAACACGCTCTGGCACTTTAATGCTGACAGCACCTCCTCTTGTTTCCCTCCTGTTTCCCTCCCCCTCTCGGCGTGCTCTTTCCTTTTTCCTGGCCCCCAGAACTTGCATTTTGTTTGCTCAAATTGCCTGTTTGCTAGTCGCCTTCCAGCCAACGAGGTCCCGGCTCCCAGCAGCCCATCTCCACTCTCCAGCATTAGCAGCAGCCACTTCTCCTGCTTTCAGCAATGGCTCTTGCCGTTCACCCCTGCCACCGCCGGGTCGCTGCTTGCCATGCAACCTCATATTAGTTCTGGGCAAGAGAAACACAAGGCGAGGCTCCTATTCGTAGCTTTGCGCTTTGCGTAGAAGAAGACAGAAGCCGCTGGGTCTGTTCTCTCCGTAGGTGTGTGGCAGCGTCCCCCGTGACTGCACTGCTTGGAGTGGCCGTGGCATGCCCAGGCCATTTCGCCCAGACCGTCGTCTGATCTCCGTGTTTTTCTTCTCTCGTAAACAAACAAAGAGTACCTACTGTAGGTCTGCACGCTCGCTGCAAACACAATTCTAGCCCACCTTGGTGCCTTTTTATAGTGCTGCGGCCGTTTGCACTGCGCCTGGGTACTTGATTCCTTCCCCCCCCTCGATGTTGAATGTCGAGTCCTCAATATTTAAGATCGAAACTCTCGAAGTTGACCTTGGAAGTTGAACCTTCCTGTATATCTCCCTGGATAGGGCAAAGGATATAAATAGTCCACTTTCGTCTCATTAACGTCTTATTCATTAAGTCATCGGCTTCAGGCGTTGTTTATATCTTTGTCGCCAGCCACATATCCGAATCAACTGTTACTATGAGCAAAGATACACAGAACCTACCCCTAAAGCCGCCGCCGTTGCTCGGATTCGCTCAGACCTTCGGGAACCAACGCACAATGTCCGACTCTAACAAGTCCAAAGACAGCCAGCGGCCAGCCAACAACAGTGGTCTAAACCCCAAGCGCCGCCGCACTATCGATCGATCTGACGAGCGGAGCCCAGTTTCCCAACGCGATGGAGCTGAGGCATCCGGCCCGACGGTTTCAGCAGGTAGGAAAAGCCCCTTTCTAAAACTTGAGTATCCTTGGACTCACTCATGCTAACAAGTTCTGTGTACAGTTACCCACAGACAACGCAATCCAGACGCCTCCAGACAGAATGTCTCGAATGCGGTACCCAAAACTGCTGCTCATCATGCATCAGCTGCCTCTCTCAAGACGTTGATGTATCAGTTTTCCGAAAACTTCGAAAGCTTTCAACTGAGATGCAGAGCAGTCAGACATCTCAAAAACTATTCAAAAATCCAAGAGCAGAGTCATCACCGTCCCTCAGACTTCTCTAGTGCCTCTAATCTACAAATAAATGAGCGAAAGGCAGCTCAAGACGATATTGAGAAAGCCGATAAACAAATAACAGACTTTTGTAACAAGATATCGCCAGCTCTTCGATCAATCTTGCAAGGTATCTTAGACGGTGGAGGTATAGGCGCCACTCCGTCCTCAATTCCAGACAAGCCGATGGTATCAGACGCCAAATCAAACACCGTCCAAGACACAATCAAAAAAGAGTTGGAGACATTGTTTAAGAAAGATATCGCAGAGTCACAGCAATCAATGAAAGATTTCTTTCAGTCGCAAATGTCCGCACTGAAAGAGGCGCTATCCCAAGAATACGAGCAGCAATTCAAATTGATGAAAGAGACTTTGATGCAAGAAAGCGAGGAGAGACAAGCTTCTCTCAAAAAGACGTTGACTCAAGAAGAGGAAGCGAGAGTGAAGTCTCTCAGAAACTCGCTGGTACAGGATTATGAGAAGCGAATTGCAGACATAAAGCATTCTGTTGCTCGAGAAATCAGAGACCAAATTGCAGATCTCAAAAACGGCTTGGCTAAAGAAAGCGATAAGAATACTGCCCTTGAAAAGAAGATAACATATTTAAAAATCGAGCTTGACAAAGCAGCTTCAGGACAGAGGCAGAAGTTGCAATCGCTTGTAGAGCAAGCACATCTTGACCAGCGGCTGCAGCGCCTGTCAAGCTCTCAGGAAGACAAATTTAGCGACATAAGATCATATGTGGACCAGAAAACGGATAATACTCTTCTTGTTCAGCGATTACAGCGAGTTGATCTGCTTTCGGACTCTCACAAAGAGAAAATCAGCAAACTGGAGGATCGCTTGAATCAAGCGGAAGATGATGCAAGAAGAATTGAGAACCTGGAAGTTCAAATATGCAACCTTTCAAGGCTCATTAATAAAAAGGCGCAGCAACTCTCTGATTCTCAAGAGGAGAAACTTGACGAACTTGAGGCAAGCTTGGACCGGCTTAAAGATGACAGCTTTGCCACCCATCAGCTTCTCGAATATCAAAACGACAAACTTAGCAAGCTTGATGATTTCAAAGCCACTACGCCAAGCATTGAAGATTTGAGAACACTTGAAGCTCGCATGGACTCACTGGCAGGCGATACTCCGCGAATCAAGGACTTTATAAAGGAAGGGCGCATCCACTTAGAGCTCATCGAGAAAGGGGCACAACTATTCAATACACGTCTGCTTTCGCTCGAGTCTGCGGCATCTACTCTTTCAGCGAAAGAGCTGGATAGTATCCGTACAGAGATGGCAAAAATGGACCAGCGCATACGGAACTTCAATCCCATGCATGAGTCTCTTCCCCCATCGACCGATTCGATTCGACAAGCCATCTGGCTTGAAGTAGAAAGGGAGATGGAGAATAAAGCCAACGCCACAAAAGTTACGCTTGCGAATGTCCAATCCGGACTCCATAAGTTTCTCAAGACTGAGCGAGAAGAGAGAGAGGCTCTAGAGGCGCAATGTGCCGAAGTTACCCGCCAGTTATTGGAGGCCCAACAAGGAGCCGCTGCTACAAAGCGTGAACTTTCGGAGCTAAAGAAGAGAATGAATGATCCCACACTAAAGCAGGACAACATACTCGATTGCATTGAAGAGAAATTGAACAGTCACATTGGGGCCGTCGTAATTGACTTCCATGGCAGACTTGAAGGAATCTATTTGCACTTGCAAGGCCTGGGGGCATGGCAGAACAACTTCAGCACAAAAGGTCTCTATAGAGATATCTTGAATCACATCAATGCCACAATGCCAGATGGCACAGTGGTGCAATTGAGGAATCTAAAACAGCGCATGGATGTCGCTGAGACGCGCATTGCGGCTTGTGAGAGTGGCGTTAGCAACAAAAGAAGAAAACTGCCGAGTGGCGGCTCAAAGATTGTTCGTGGCGATCAAGCAGACGCGTAATCATGTTCATTCTAAGCAACAAGTCACCAATGTTTGAACAGCGGCGGAGACAAACAACCCAGATTTTTTCCCTTACTTCGAGATGTATCCCTAAGCGGATAGGCATATCTCAAGGCTCGTGGGGCTATTATTCCTGCCGGCTTGGATCCAGGCACAACACTGGCTCTCAAATCTAGTCGCTTGTTTGGACTGTTAAATGCAACGCGGGATGCATGTAGTAGACAAAGGCTGGATACGTTGGTTTGCTGGGGATGCGACGGGTGACTGGCCATACACATAATAAGTAATATAGAGTATTGCACTATATACTCGAATGTATTTTGTGGAGGAATATATGAAGTGACGATTCGATCTGTAGCCGACTTATAAAGGCAAAGAAGTTAGTTAGTTTCTCTTATTATTAGATACATATATATATATATTATTCTTAAAAATACTCCTTTGCTAAGAATTCATGAATCCATACTTGGAAATATACTTGGACGCTAACATGGGAATGAAGCTACTCTCATCCACCTAGGCACTCAAAGACTCCAATAACTTTTTCAAGCAGCCAATGTAACAATAGAGCAAACAGATACTACCTAGGTACCTATCAGTGTATTGAGGCAATACGAGCGCGCACTTCCACGCATCTATCTGCCTTCAAGTCACCTGCACTTTCAATAGTGTATTCATCCTTGATCTTTTCTCTCTCTCTCAGTGTGTACATCTGTCTCTATTGAACAAAGCATTAATGTTATAGTCAAATATAGTTTGTACGTGCATCTATAGACATACGTTGCCTATTATATATATTGTGTATTTAGTTCTGCACAGCTTGCTAGTAGTTTCAAGGTAGGATACACTATAGAATAAAAACATCTCTTTTCTTCTCTCTTTTTCTTCTCCTTTCTGTTAGTATTTCAGTAAAGTTTATATATCAATATCTATTATTCTTACAGAAAAAAAATCCACCACAGCCACAAAATATGCCTCTGTTGCTACTGCAATATGCATTTGAGTCCACAATGACATTTGTGTAAGTTTCAGCCTTGTTGCGGTGGCTTAATGTCAAGTCCGCCAAAAGTGGTGCTTTTGTATTTTGCTAACACGTATTGGCCAAGGTACTGAAACCTGGGAGGACAATTTACATCGCAGTGCTTCTAGATGCTTTGTACAGGCAGCCTATTGAAGAATAACCTCCTATTGTTTGGTAATAAGGCAGGAGAACAGCATTCAGAACAATACTAGTACCTTTTGCACCAATCCTGTTTCTACTGAGGCACCCTTGATCTCAATCTCAATGTCAAATCAAATGCAAATGACATAGAGCTTGGAATCCTTCTGTATGAATATGCACATCAGGCATTATCGTTGCCTCTATTGGTTCGGTGTTGGGTACATGTACATCCTCCTGCGAGGCACCTACAAACAATTGAACTCAATCTGAGCTTGTATCAGCGCCAAAGTTCGGAGCGCCAGGCGCCCAAATAATCGGGCGCTAGGGCCCTTGAAACCTTAACGGCGGCTGATGGGGCAGGGAACAGCGCTCCGCCATACAAAAAGCACAGGCCCCCCAGGAGAGGCACTGCACACTAACCCCCGACACAACACTGAGGAGTGAGCACTCTGTATCCACCGCATCAGCTTCCCCCAAACCCCAAACCAGCCTTAGGAGCAGCTCGTGTATGGCCTGAGCAGCGGTACTTGCGCTGCCGCCCGCCGCCCACAGCTCGTGCTGGTACCGATCGCCAAACACCATCTCGTGGCCGGCATCTGCATCCACGTCCCGCATCCGCATCCACGAACCTCCAATCCATTGCCGCAACGCATCGCCCTGCCGCTCTGGCGTCGCGCTGTGCCGAATCGCCATTGCCCACGAGAGAGCGCCTGCTGGACCGATCAGCGGGCGAGCTGCGAGCCCTGCCCGGCGGTGCCCCGACTCGCATCGCCCATCTGACTGGCCAGCTCTTTGTTGCTTGCCCTCAACCTCTTTGTCTCGCCTTTTGCCTCTTCGGCCAGCCCTGTGCGGATCCACCATCACGGCCGCCGCTCCGCCCATCGTCGTCGATACCGCATAGCCATTGTCGCGCAACCTCGCCCTCTGTCGCAGCGGCCGCTCTTCTCGTCGTCGTCGGTCGCGCTCCGCCGCTCACTCGTGCCTGCGGCATGATCACGCCCAAGCACGATGGAAGCGGCGCGGAAGACGATCGAGGTGCTCGGCCAGCGCATCCTGCCAGGACAACCCCATCACTTGGCGTTTCACCCCGAATGGCGATATCGTCCCAGCCACGGTGACAGCAGCTCCTTTGAGGAATGGCATCATCCCCGCCTGCAATACCTGACCCTATTGTCCGAAGCCGATCGCGGCGTCCTGCTCACGAAATCCGATTATGACATGCGTGAAGAGCCGGCCAAGCCTCTTCCACGCGAAGTCAACGCGCTGGCCAAAGGTGGTGAGAAGAAGAAGTTGTCGCTGAGCGACTACAAGAACAAGAAGACCGGGGCCACGTCGTCCACGTCGCCGCCAGAACCGTCAATTGCCAAGAAGAAGGAAAGCGAACGCGCTGGTGACCTGTCGACCAACGCGGGGGCTGCGTCCGACCACAAACCCTCATCAGAATCCAGGCCTGCCTCAGAAGCGAGGAAGGCGGATAGACCCAGGCCACGAGAATCAGATCCGCTCGTTGACGCCAAACAGCGACAGGGTCGCGAACCAGCCGCCGACATGAGGTGGGTACCTTTTGAGCTCCGGGCGATGGCAGCATTGGGCGACGAACAGCAAGCTAACATTGATATAGATTACCTCCCAAGCCTCCCACAAAGCACCCATTACCACCTCGACCACCCTCTCCCAATTCTAAAAAACGTGTGGCAGATCTAGATGACGATTTGCGACCGCAAAAGCGGTCCAAGGCTGACGCCGGCAAGCACATTGATGACCGGGCACCGCACTCTCGCGATGAAGCGCAGAGACGCAAAGATAGAGTCTCTTCCTCAACCCCCTATAAAGATGCTAAAGATGCGCCGTCGCATAAAGATGACAGGCTCACCAACTCGTCCTCGCTTCCCAATGGCAGAGCCATTCTGAAAGGCGCGGTGAGCTCTGGCCGCAACAACAACACTTCGCCCGCATCTCGTCCTCGGGGCGATTCTATGAATGGCATCCGGCCTACTGGCACAGGAAGCAACCGAAACACGCCCACCAAGCTGGACACGTCAAAATCAAGCGTGCCGCCACTATTATCTCCTCTGCATCTGACTTTTGAAGACCGGAATGCCGAGAATAAGTCTCAGGCAAGGCAGGAGAAGAGAAGGGCTCGGGAAGACTCCCGTGAGCGGGACAAATCCCCCATAAGGCACAAAAAATCAGACTCCACATCAGAAATCAAGAGACAGAGGTCACCGGTGAGAATTCCTCCGCTGCTCTCGCCGACTTTGCCGCCAGTAGTAGAGGCCGCTTTGCAGCTGAGAAAAATGGAAGTCAAGCCTCTCAAGAGCAAAGATGACAAAGAGAAGGAGCTGCCGTCTAAAAAGAAGAAGCCGGCTACCGATTATCACTCTGACGACGACGAGCCTCTTTCACAAAAGCCACAAAAGCCACAAAAGTCACTCATTGTTATGATTAAAGTGCCCAAGAAATTACGAAAGGACGTCAAGAGGATTCTCGCCTTGTCATCATCTACGGCCGCTCGTAAGGAGTTACAGGCTCAAAGTCAGGAACGTTCTGCTGCACCCGAAGAATTTATTCAGCCACCCCCCGCAAGGAAACGGCCGGTGGTTCCTACTGAAGCGGCAGCATTGTCGGAAACCAATGCACAAAAGAAGCCCAAGGCTGCTGATATCCCTAGTTCCTCGCGTTTGCCTGCTCCAACGACCCCATCCAAAAAGGGTGCCACCTCCATGTCTCGCGTTAGCTCGAGCAATTCTTTGGCTCAGACGCCTGGAGACGCGGTCAATGCCACTCCGTCTGCCTCTACCTCATCGGACCGCCGCGTGAATGGCCACGATGTCCATCGCTCAGAATCTGCCGAGGCCAGGGCTATGCGAGAGAAGGAGGCCAAGTTTAACACTCTCGGACGCCGCCTCAAGCATGAAGCGGATACCGCTATGAGAGGAGGTCGTCGAAGCCCGGGTGTTAATGGTCACACGCGTGAGCCTGACCTAGGCAAAGGATATGTGATCAGCGTGGAGAGTTTGTTGGCTTTCATGGCTGGCTTCCAAGCGCAAAACATTTACCGCGGGTTGTGCAATAAGAGGAGTGACCCGACTGGATGGGGTAGCCTGTTTCCCTTGCTTGAATTCATTGAGGGCCAGATGAAGAGACAGGAGACTCATACCCGTCGATTCCTCCCGCTTTATGTACTTGTTCTTCATCTGCATTCCGTGGCCATCACAGAGCTAATCCGGTGCCACGTGGTTGAGAATTCAACTCTTCCGCAGCCAGACTGGTTTGCACTTGAAAAGAAGCGACTGAAACTTCTTTCTCAAATCAACGAGGCTTCCAACAACATCGATTCTCGAGATCTGCGCCTCAGTGTACCATCACACGCAACGCTGGACGATATGACGTCGGCGTCGATTCGCATCCTCAGAACATGGTGCAGTGGTGAGCACGTTGATTGGACCCCCGACGGCAGTCTTAAGGAGCCTGTTGCATATCGGGGTTGATGAAACGAATAACATCAACGGCACTACTAGTGTCATCTCTTCTATACGCTACACACTACTCCGCTTATAATAATTGGCATGGCTTTGATAGCTGACGGGAGTTGAGTGGCTACTTTGGAGCTTGCTGGCTCCTCCATTTCCCGTCTTTGGCTGAGTCTAGATGCAGGCAACTGCAAACGACTGGGTTTTGAAATTCTGCATTTTGGCGTTGGGTCATGAAGAAGAAATTTTGCTTCTCCTTCCTGCTTCATGCACTTGGTACATCACCTGAGTTAAGTGACGACAAAAGAAGAAGGCGAGCTCAACTCGTTGAGCGTTCAAAAGATTCTGCCACCAACCAATGCACCACCGCGAGACGGCTTGCATCTGTTGCCATTGGGCTTTTTTTACTAGCAAATTGTTTTGCTTCACGCATTTATGATATCCCTGTACTCATACTGTTCTCTTTACGCTGTCTTACCTCTGTCTTTCCGTCGTTCATCACTCTGTGCTGATGGTGGGTGACTTGGTTACTGCTGGCACAGGAAAGGATGCGCGTGGGTTTGAGGTAACGGCTAGAAAAGAAACACGCAGTACTGCTGAGTTTCTCTTTTTCGTATCTTTTTCAGCTGCTCACTAGGCTTCTCTCTTCTTTTAACCAACTTTACTTATTGATTACTGTTTGAAAATATAAACTAACTGCTCGTGGTTTCGATCTACGGCATACGTTTGCTTGAACAAAGGGGGTGGGGGGTCTTTAAAACAAAAAATAGGATTGGGCAAGTGGAATAGTCGGGCAGGCAAGGCGACTGTGACTGTTGTTTTGTATTGTTTTTTCTTATTTTGCTGAATGGAAAAAGTTGGAGCGGATATTGCGTACATACCTTGGTTCTGCTACGGCCTTGTTTTGTTTGAACCTTGTTAATTCTGCTCCTTGCAATACACGTTGGCAGTATCTGTAATCAAGAGCCGCTGGGAGATGTAGTAGATGGAATAAATACCAACTCACGGTTGACGCAGGCTGTGCGTCCATGTCTGAGTGAATACATGTTCGTTTTAGCTGCTTTTTGTGCCTATATGTGGATAGTGTTTGTGAAATACGTGACTGAGACAAATGAATATGAGTAATGTATCTACAAGCAGGAGTTAACACGGCTTTGATCGTCTGACTCTGAGTTGACCAACTCCTTCATATGGGTGACTGCAGCCGGCTTGACGTCTCGAGTAAATTCCCATCTCGTACAACGGAGTTTAATTCTCTTGTAATCGAGCTGTAATGCAATGTGACTTCATTCATAATTCACATATGCATTAGTGAGTCTTCAACTCACCTCAAAGAGCAAATTGTTTTGCAGTATAATGACAGGGTAGTTTAATTTGCAGAGACCCCGACGAGCAAGAAGCCATTAATTGCTGTGTTTCCACACTGAGAGAGAAAACTAGAACAATTCACTCTCTGCTACATACACTGCCAAGTGCAATCTCTTGTCACTTGTGCATTTTACATAGCTGCACCGATACACACCGCCCTGACTTATTGCACACTTTGGGCTCAGGCATCTACTTATAGTCTACTGCACTCGGCCTGCTCGCTGTTGCACAACTCTCACCTTTACACATCTCTCTTCTTCCCAATCTTCTATACCTTCTTCGCCATCCACACATTGAGCATTCTGTTCGGTTCTTCTACTAGGAACTGCTCACTTGCTTGCTCTTCTTCTATTCTACATCACTCAATCACAACAGCTGGATCTCACAACCTAACCACCATGGCCCCTCAAGAGAAGAAGTGGGATGATGCTGCCGAGCGTGACCTCTGCATCTCCATGATTTACTGCAACGCGGAGTCCGGCAAGGTCCGTCAGAACTGGCCTCGTGTTGAAGAAGTTATGAAAGGTCTGGGATACACGTTTACCAAAGATGCCATGTCGTAAGTTTCACATGCTACAAGCTTCATCTTCTTCTCTAAGCACCAACCAATCATCATGTATTTGAATAAACTGACTCTTTCTATAAAATCACAGCCAACACTACTCCAAAACCATCATGAAGGACTTCAAAGCTCGCCACCCTGATATCACTGCTACCAGTCTCACCGAGACTCCCTCGCCTGCTAGTGCTCGCAAGACCAAGGCAGCTGCTGCGAAAGCTGATGGCGCCAGCACCCCTTCCAAGAAGCGAACCAAGAAGCCCGCCGCCGTGGCCCCAAAGGATGAAGACGGAGATGACGATACTGAGCTTGATGCGACTCCGTCTAAGAGAGCCAAGAAGGAAGGAAAGACGACTCCTGTTAAGAAGGAAGAAAAGGCAGCCCCTGTCAAGGACGAAGAAGAAGCTGCTGATGCTACCACTGAGGCGTAAGGTCAACCCCCGTCTTTTGTTGAAAATAACATTTCGCACATGATTGCTTTTCCCATCCCCATCTCTTCCTCCCCTGCCTATCTTCCAACAAGAGGAAATATATCTCGCGAACTCGAGCTAACAGTTGTTGTCTTCTCAGTGCCGACGATGAGAAGGATAAGGCTTTCCAGGACTGGGCTGCCAAAGGCCCCTCCGAGGAAGAGTAGATTCAGAATCAGTTTCGCCAAACGCCGCGTCTTCTTTTTTCTTCTTCTCCGTTATCCTTTCACGGTAGAGTGGAATTGATATACATCATCGGCATACCGATTGGCTATTTGATATACATCGTTGGTATATGGATTGGCTAGAGAGAAATATATACTAGATAGTGGTTTATTTTCTTCTTCTTTTTGCTTTGGAAGCTATTTATCTGCTAGCTACGGGGTGATGGATGCGAAGTGCTATATACGCTGGCTACTTAGGGAGGATCGATATAAGTCTATTATACAGTGACTAAAAGGCAAGGTTACTTTAATACCACACTTGCATACCCAAGAACTCGGATCAGTGAAATCGGACAAGTGAGTGAGTAAGAAAACTTTCTAAATTGGCCTCTGTGGTTCTCCTGCCCATCTGTCCGTTGTAGCTGGACATCTTTAATACTCTTGAGTTTGCCTACCTATGTCGCTAGGCGACATTGGATGAAAGCGGTTCTTTCATCTTGAAAGCTGTTTTGTTCACAGAAATCTCCCGAATGAAATGAGAATAAATGGTTCAAATACAACGCCATTTTATTAAAAATGGCTAAACAAACTAGATTCTCTATTTTGCAAGCAGTTCCATCAAACCAACCGTAAACGTCAAAGTTCCCAGCCCCAACGCCGCAACTGCCTAGATCAAAAGACTAACATCAGGAACCCTCTTACTTATCGCGGTGATCGGCCATCTAGTCTGTTGCCATCGCTTGGCCCCTTCTTATCTGGGGCCTTGGACTTATCATCAGCGTCTCCCTTTCTCTTAACAGTTCCGCGCAAACTTTGTCCTTGGCCCGCAAAGTGATGTTTTGGCGCCTTCTCTTGCTCCTTCTCAGCGTCTGTCTTCAACGGCTTCAGCTCGTATCCGAAGAAAAGCTTGTTGGGAGGTAGACGAAGGGGCACCGGAGCGCCGGTTCGTTTTTTGGGAACTGCAGTTGTTTCCACCGGCACTGGTGTAGCGGGCTTCGGTGTTGCAGTCTTACTGCCTTTCTTGGCCACTCGTTGACCTTCGCCGAGGAAATTGGTCGGCACGCTGGTCACTGATGGTGCGATAGAGCTGTAGTTGATGGCTTGTGCCATGGTCCCCTGATTGTGCAAGATACCACCGGCAGGCACGCCTCCCATAGTACTCCGTGGAGTGCTTGTTCCGCTCTTCTTCTCAGGCTCTACGTAGCCAACGGGCGCGGCAAATTCGACCGATACGTCGGTTTCAATCATACTGACGCCCATCTTGTCCGTCTCTGGCTTAACATCCAAAACCGCAACATCGTATACGTCATCGTTGTATTCAAAGTTGAAAATATCGCCCTTTGTTAAAGTTGCAAAATTCCTAAAAGCTTTTTCCAATACGGCCTTCGGATCGCTAATCTCGAGAAAGTTAACCGATTGGGGCTGAAGCTTGACCATCCTTGCGAGCTCCAACGAAGTAGTTCGAATTTGAATCATGTCGCCAACGTCCAAGCTTAGTGTTACCATCATCTGTCAAAGGTCAGCAACAGAAGTAACAAAAGGAATATTCGGGTATCGACTGAATGACAACTCACCCACTGGGGAATATATGCACGACCTTCTTCGGCAATGAATTCCAGAACTCCGGCATGTGAGTGCTTGCCCTTCTCACCGTTGATCATCTCCATCAGCAGAGGCCACTGCACATGGAGCTTGGAAACTTTGTCAAGAGCTGATGGAGGGAGGATAATCTTGGATCCGTAGTTCAACTCTGGGCGCTCGCTGCCCGGCGCCATGATGACAGGATAACATCTGTAGTATTCGTCGAAGCGTTGGATTATGGGTCGTCGGCTATGGCGTGCCATGCCGTAGGGATCGAAGCCGAAACCAGACTTGGACGGCATTAGCTATTACACAGACGTGGATTTGGGTGCGGATATGGTGAACTCACCATGTTGGCGTGATGTGGTAAGCAGGCGGTTTAACGATAGATATAGCCAGGCTACCTCGCCTGCGCGTTCTAGAGAAGGACGCTCAAAGGAAGCTCCGTACGTTCGACTGCCTTTGGATCTTGGCGTTTTTCAAGTCAGAATGGTTATTGCTGCGCTGGTTGTTGGTTGGTGAAGCTTGAGATGTCAAGTCCAGAAAGGCGGAAGACGTGGGGTTCGCAGTGGAGGCAGCTGTTGAGTGACGCAGGTACATACAGTACCTACCTTTTATCGCAGCTGAGATAACGCCAAAATGTTAATCCCGGCATGCGAAAGCTCTCTTACTGCTCCTACCTAACACTAACGAGCCCACCACTTAGCTGCTGCCTGCCACCACTTCATCTTTACTTTACTAATCATTCAGAAAACGAATTGCTTGTTGGATCAACTGCATTTGAGCTACCGCTTTGTCCACAGCGGAAGAACAAGTGGCGATTGGCCGAGTCGTGTCGTCACCTCCGGAGCACCATGTCTTCCCGTTACTCTGCAGCGCGTCCGAAGCGAGCTGGCGAGAACTTTGCTCGAACGCATCACGGCGAAGAAGAGGACACAAAACGAGTCAAATTCGATGTCCGCAACCCGTCCATCTTGGCGCCGGACGCGCGGGAAGATGATGCAGTCCTAGATGCCGACGTGATTGGTGGCAGTCATGCCACGAAACGAGGTGCCGTAAACCTCGACGGCTACGACAGCGATTCGGACAATGAGAATTTCAATGCGCGAGCAGGAAGTCGCAAGAAGGGAGATGTAAATATCCTTGAGCAGCTGGACAACTACGACGCCAAGGCCAGCAGCGCCAACGAGCAGCCGCACAGACCGATCAACGAAGATGACGATGACGATGACATGTTTGCGGCGGAGAATGACGAAGAACAAGGCAAAGAGGAGGCTGGAGAAGACGAAGACTTTGAGAAATCTGGCAGAAAGAAGAAGAACGTCAAGTTTTTGGACGATGCTCAGATCCAAGGCCAGGAGAAAGGGAGCAAAAGTGGAGGCACTATCCGCCTAGACGAACAAGAAAGCAGCGATGATGAACAAGACTTGGAGCTTGCGATTCAAGAAGAGGGAGTGGACGAAGAAGTGGGAGCTGGCGGCTTAAAACGCAACGCGCCCAAAGTTGAGGCCTTCAACCTTAGGGAGGAAATGGAAGATGGCCGGTTCGATCAGGATGGCAACTACGTGCGAAAAGCTAATGATGCTGATGCCGTCCATGACAGCTGGCTCGAAGGTTTGAGCAAAAAGGACATGAAGAAAGCGGCAGCGGCGCACGAAAGACGCGAGGCTGAAGCGCGAGAGAAGCGCATCGAAGAGGATGGCGTCTTGGAGTCGGAGCTACTAGCAGCGTTGATCACGAGGCTGGAAAGAACCGAAACACCCCTGGAAGCTTTGGCACGACTAGGAAAAGACAAGCCGAAAACCAAAAAGATACCCAAATGGAAGCTCAAGAAGATGAACAAGGGTGCAGAAGCTATGGACACCGATCAGGAAGCAGCAACGGATCCGAAACATGTGGAGATTAAAGAAGCAATCGATGCCATCACAGACGCGGCCGATAAACTACTGAGCCGTGGGCACGAAGAAATCTACGATCAAGAGAGAGAACTGCTGGTCCGTGAATATCGACGCGAGACGGGAGAAGACTGGGTCGAGCCCAAGATCGAGGCCCAGGCCGAGGCTGAGGCTGAGCCAGCTTCAGCTGCAGCTGCAGAAGACGCATCGGCTCGGGCTAATGGCACGATGTGGGAGTTTAGGTGGACAGATGGACGAGACAATGCCGCAAAGCAAGGTCCTTTTGACGGCCCCGCGATGAAAGCTTGGCAGGATGCCGGATATTTTGGTCAGGGCGTCGAGTTCCGAGTCGTCGGCGCAGGCGAGGAGGCGTGGGCCGCTTCGGCAGACTTTTCGCGGGGACAGCTGTGAGAGAACGAAGAGACACTGAGGGCGTGAAGAGAGGCCAAACAAGCGAACGGGTAGAGCCGCTTCTCCATGTCTCCAGGCTCCGGTAGCTTGTCTCTGTGCCGGGTCGACCTGTGAAAGTGGGAACACTGGATCGAGAAAAGCGAACAGGACGATCTCGTTGGTCCTCTCAGAGCAATCAAAAGCTCTGTTGCATCCGTCCCGGCGCCTCAGCCGCGGCTAAGAAAGGCTCCGTGTGCTCGGGACGAGAATGACAACGGCCGATTGTGTTCCTGGAACTCCCGATCTTGACGGGGCCGATCTGGGGTCGCAGGCTTCTCCAAGATCCCACAAGCCGTAACGCTCCGGCGCTTGATTCCGCAGTGGCCCTAGGGGAAGCGCGGTGGCAGCCGAGCTTTGCCGCCTGCATATTAACACAGGGATTGCATCGGGCTGATGGTTGCCGTGCAATAAGTGGTGTTGTTGTAAGAGCGAAAATGAGGGCATCGCCAAGCAGCCCACGCAAACTCGAGGTCGCCCGCAACAACGAGAGATTTTTAGGTACTTCGTACGTACCTATCTTATGCCAGTTATGGGACGTTAAAACTAGTAACTACTTTGGGAAACCAACTTGATGAGCGATTTCTATTATTCATCACTTCCGCTGCTCGCACACACCACTGCTGCACTGCACCCCTTATCATATCCGTATCAAGTCCTATGTCATGCGTACCCACGCAAGACGTGCAGCTACTATCCAGGTGAGGCCACGAGGGTGACAAAAGGGTCAGTTTGATGTAACTCATTTTGCTTGCCATCGCGACCGTTGCCGGACGACTATTGGACGAAACGTGCTCGCCGTTGATCGGCTTCGTTTGACTCCTTCAATTCCCTGTCTCGTGTGTTCAGCTTGACTGCCTCCCTGATATTACCAAACCTGAAAATTAATACGACCGCGGCAGCCCCGGCGAAAAAAAGCGCGGGATGGCTAACTCGGCCAATGGGGCGGATCGCAGGATAAGCCCGGGCGATATTGACGTCTCGCTCGCCCTATCCAAAAACATCTGCCGTGACTTCATGATTTCATAATCAGCTCCGACGGCCCAAGGAGATAGCAAAAGCAGCTCAGCGAGGAAAATATCAGAATTCCTCATGATCAGTCTTTTTTCGCCTCTTTGTCGTATATTCCAAACTCCGGCCGGCGGCGCTGCCCGGTGGAGCACAGCATGAAATGACCAAGACGGCGGCCGGGCCTTTGTTGAGAGGCGAAATTCCCGCCTAGGGCAGTAGAAAAAACACAGCCCCGCCGAGCGCCCCAAAATTCGCGAAAACAGCGCATGTTGGTGCCGGGTCCCAGCCTTGTGACGGGCTTGGTATTGGGCAGACTACTATGTAGCTCTCCCATCGCAATCGAACCTGTGTGTTAGTTCAAGGCTGCTCGGTGAGCTGGTTTTTTCCGTTCCCCTGGAAATTGCAAAATGGAAGAGGCTGGTTGGATGATAGGAGGAGCACGTTTTCTCTTGGCTTGCTCGCTTTGACTCTCGAGGCCCGATATTAACAGCCAGGATTGGGACGGAGTCGGCGCCTTGATGATGATGACGGTGCGTGTTGTAGCAAGGACACTATGTAAGAAGATTAGCATTGGATTGGTAGGAAGATGCATTCTGTCTGTTGCTGCCATTGCCATAGCTGTCGTTTTACAGCATCGTGAAGCTTCTCTCGCCGTACTAATAATAGTCGTTAGTATTTTGTTGGGTTCCAGGAGCTGCTAGTCTAGATGCAATCATCAATGGATAGTATCAATCTGCAAGCAGTAGTGCCTGAAGCTAATCCTCGTCCACTACGGCCCTTCCATTCCATTCCATCCATTCCTGTTAGAAGGAGCTACCACTAGACATCCCACCCACTGTGTCGAGGCAGTAGCGGCTTGGGCGCTGTACAGTATCGCTTCCAAAGTATCCAATGTATCCGTCCAGTACCGGCCAGGCGTGCCGCTCGCTGCAACCTACCAAGATGCGGCCTGACCCCCCTGTTCGAGCCGCTGATTCCCAGGTGGCGGGGCCCAGTCTTTAGACGCGCTTTGCCAAATGGCATGGATTGCGCTCATCCGATGCCGCATCACGGTTGGGCCAGAAACACTATTAATCTTTCGACTGCTCCCCTCTCCTGATCTTTTTCTTCCCTCTTTCCTCTCCATAACCACTCCTCAGAGACATCGTCCTATTACTATCTATTTCAAACCACAAACAGGTTAGTATAACATGACATGTTCACGATAAGCCCGGCACTTCAACGGATCAATGTTTTTGTTCCCATCCATCTGCCCCTCTTCCCTCAGCTGCTATCGCCTCTAGCTACCCCGCTAGGCTCCTCTGCGTCACCGTTTTTTTTTCCTATTTACCCCTCCTTGCTCCCAGCTCCTACACGAAAAAAAACTTGCCAGGAACAAAACGCCATCAAGCTTAAGCTTACACTCATATCTCAATCACAGTTCAAACGACAGCCATCATGTCTATCAAGGTCGGAATCAACGGCTTCGGCCGAATTGGTCGTATCCTGCTCCGCAACGCTCTCGAGAAGCCCGAGCTCTCCGTCGTTGCCGTCAACGATCCCTTCATTGAGCCCACCTACGCTGTGAGTAGCGACCCCTCGAATCTTCTATGCTGGTTTCTGTCTATCCTCAATCTGTCTCGATACCTCTCGACTTCTGTCCAATCAGAATGATTGCACTGCGGCAGGCGAGATTAGAGAGATGAAAAAAGGCGATGAAGAGAGCTGGTGCTTATGAAGGCTGCTCTCGGCATTGTGGAATGTGATTGCTTGAACATCGCATTCTCGCCAAACAACATTACCCTTTCTATCAAGCCTAGCCTACCAATTGCTATTTTCATTGTCGATGGACGCTGCGTTCAATGTCTTGAAACATGTACAGCTTTAAAACAATTTGGCGCAGCTCCATCTCGCCGTTACCCCTCACTAGCTACAGCTGTTCCATTGTATGGCCGCTAACTGAGTTATTATTAGGCCTACATGCTCAAGTATGATTCCTCCCACGGTCTCTTCAAGGGCGACATCGAGGTCGATGGCCAGAACCTCGTTGTCAACGGCAAGCCCATCCGCTTCTACTCTGAGCGCGACCCCGCCAACATCAAGTGGAGCGAGACTGGCGCCGAGTACATTGTCGAGTCTACCGGTGTCTTCACCACCGTTGACAAGGCTAAGGCTCACCTTAGCGGCGGTGCCAAGAAGGTCATCATCTCTGCCCCTTCCGCCGATGCCCCCATGTTCGTGATGGGTGTCAACCACAAGGAATACGACGGTACTCCCACCGTTCTCTCCAACGCCTCTTGCACCACCAACGGTCTGGCTCCCCTCGTCAAGATCGTCAACGACAACTTTGGTATCGTTGAGGGTCTCATGACCACTGTCCACTCTTACACTGCCACCCAGAAGACCGTCGACGGTCCCTCTGGCAAGGACTGGCGTGGTGGCCGTGGTGCTGCCCAGAACATCATCCCCAGCAGCACTGGTGCCGCCAAGGCCGTCGGCAAGGTTATTCCTGCCATGAACGGCAAGATCACCGGCATGTCCTTCCGTGTCCCCTCTGCCAACGTCTCCGTCATCGACTTGACTGTCCGCCTGGAGAAGGCTGCCTCATACGAGGAGATCACCAACGCCGTCAAGAAGGCTGCCGATGGTGAGCTCAAGGGTACGTAAAGAATCAGCTCCTCCCCC